CGATTAAAAAACGCATAACCTTTAATACCCATAAAATGGACCGTTTCAAAGATATTTTAATTTAAACTGAGGACTGCACAACGCTGAAATCAAAAAATAGGGATTTTGAATAAGTGGTATCCACGGCAACCAATGACCATGGTCTCACTAATTGCTGTCAGGCATCTGTCAACTTTGACATTGGACCATTATTAGACAATTAATCGAAAATATTTAATAAAAGAGTTTACCTCAGATTCCAAACATAACTTAGAATAAATCCAAATGGATCTTGTAGTATTTAATTCATAAAATATTCACAAAAATTTATTGACAAAGTTAACAGATGCCTGGCAGGGATTTATGTGGCCATGGTCATTGGTTGCCGTGGATACAATTTATTCAAAATCCCTATTTTTTGATTTTAGCGTTGTGCAGTTCTCAGTTTAAATTTAAATATCTTCGAAACGGTCCATTTTAGGAGTATTAAAGGTTATGCGTTTTTTAATCGAAATTGATTACTCTATCGATTTGGGCAATAAAAAATTGGTGTTAAGAGAGCAAAAAAAATGGAAAAACACAGAAAATGTGACCTGCAACTGCTGGAATCGGAAATTGAGTGGATGTATCCGGTTTTCGTGATTACCAGTTCAAAGGGTATGTTGTTACAGGGAAATGTTCCAAATTTTATGATATTTGGTCAAATAGTTTCAAAGTTACTACAAAAAAATCAAATTTCCATACCCATATTCCGAGGGCTGTAAAATTCTTATCAGTGGAGATAGGACACGAGTTATTATTTAAATTAACATCATTTTATGGGTCATTTTTGAGGTTTAAATATTGCTTCATAATTATGAATAACCCTGTATATTTAGTTGCATATACTTCTAATAATGCATTGACAGCTTATTTTTTAAAAGTAAATAGCGACAGTATAACGTAAAATATCTTTGCATAAAATAATAAATAAATTGAGTTTGAGTCGATTTCGAAAGAATGTTTAAAATCCGGCTTTGTAATTGTCACCGATTTGTCGAATTCTTTCCTTGTCATTAAACAACTAAATCGTTTAGCAAACAAAGTTTAACTATAACCTCTTTTATCCGAGATGGAAGTAATCATCGAGTTTCCTACTAAAACATGGCATGTTCCACATTTCCGGCTTTCTGGACGAAATGAAACGGTTTAAATTTTAATCCTGTACTTTGTCTTTCGCTTCGTCCGGATTAAATATGACCATGTTGAACGATTTTCTCGCGAGACGTTACGATAAATACTAACACGGAATTTCTTTTAATGCTGTGGTAACAGAAATTCAAAGGAAATTTTAAGCCATCTAACAAAGAGTTTCCAGATTGATTTAAGCTCCACAAAACTAAAAGAAAAACATCTTAAACCGTTTAAGCGGCTGCAAAAAAATAAACATACAATTCGAATCCGATTTAATTGTGCTGTTTAATTCGGATGAAAAAAGTTACACAATCAATAGTGTAAACACCACAATTGGAGTAGAGTATTTTCTTTTCGATTCGAACGCTATGTTGACATAAGAGTGCAACAGTCGGCGCTATTCATTACAATGGCGTCAAGAAATATTTACTTTGCACAATTATACAGTTTACATACCTTAATTAAGCTACAATGTGCGATTGATTCGAAGCAGGAAACTGAATTATCGACTTTTAGCTCTAACTCCAAATTGTTAACTAATAAATAGTAATATATCAAGTGAGGCTAGTTGCTAAAATAAATTATTTACCTACTGGTATCTTTTAATTTGTCACAGTAAAAGAATAAAAAAACTATTTTTATTTACAAACGGCAAAAGGTACCACTTTTAAACAAGTAAAAGTTTTACCTTTCAGCTATTTTTGCGCTTAAGCATTTTTTCTTTTTCCATGACATTATTGACATTTCCCAATGTTGTTTATTTTTTTGCTTCTTTTGCTGCATTAGCAATTTTTGGAGAGGTACAATGTAGATTATCAGCATTCGACATTTTGCACTACTAACTGCACTAGTTAAATTAATAAACATTTTCGAAAATTTAAAATAAATTCCGATACTGACGCGTGATGTTTGTTTACAAGCGTTGTTATGATTTTATTAGTTGCAAAGCGTCCTGCTTATTTTGTTCATTTACTTGCTAATTACAGTGTTGCTCTCTAGTCTTAATCTAGTCTAAATCGAAATAAATATGTTATTCGGTTGGATTAGCTCAGTTCAGCTATGCCACATCACTTTTACCGTTAATAACATAATATACTATTTTATTGGAAAACAAAATTTTTCTTTCGATTTAGAAAAACTGTTATAAAAAAATATGAGTACCAGTTAACTGGGTGTGATATGTGTTTGAAATAGTTTATAACTGAATGACGTTTAGTAAAATGTCAAACTTGTCTTTTATTAAACTTTTATTTTTAATTAAGGCTTTGATATTGGTGCATTTATTTATTTATGAATAACGGTAAAATGTCAATTTTTTATCGTTTTATATAAATCTTTGAAAAATGTATTGACTATGGTGGCGAGCAATGTCAAGTTTTCTATTTTATTTCGTCTGTTTCGTTCTATCCACATAATAAAAAATGTAATAAGTATACAGAACGTGTTTAAACGTGTTTTTTTATTTACTAAAAAATGGTGGTTTAACTAACTATTTAATAGTAATAACACTTTATACATGGTGAATAAAAAGTATGGACCCAAGCGTTTTTTTTAATCTTTGCTTATAGAAAATAATAATTAACAGAAATTAATGTGTTACAAAAAGTGTGATCATGTTTTGATAAAAATGAAATTCTGTTTTGTTTTTGAAATATGCGATTTTTTTTGTCAAAATGACAACTTATGTGAAAAATTTTTTTGATAAAAATTGAACACAAAATAGATAGCTGTAGTCTTTAGATCATAGCCTTTCTGAAAAAAAAATGGATTTGTAGTGGGTTACCATATTTAAAAAAATAAAAATTTTGCAAAACTTGTAAACAAAAAACATTTCGAATAGTCTTTTATTTTGTACTCAATGTTAAATAGTGCTTTTATCAACTAATTTCAGTAGATAAAGTAGTCTTTTATTAGTCTTTTACCGTTTAGTGAAATAAAGTATTTTTTATCTACTGTTTAAATTCAAGAAATTCTAGTAGGTGAGTACAAAATAAAACGAAATATTATACACGACGATAAAGATTGTTTACTACTCGTGAAAAGAGTCCAGTCGTGACTTTGTCACTCGTAAACTTAACCTTTTCACTCATAGATAAACAATTTCTTTATCGTCTTGTATAATAAATAACTATTATTGAATTTTATCTTTGAGGGCAATTTAGCGTCGAGGCGTCGGCCGAAACACTAATATCCTCGAAAAGATAATGAAAACTTAATCGTCGTATACAATATAAAATTTTATTCACTAATTTTGTAGTCAATTTGGTCGATATTTATAAATGTCAATGTAAAATTCAACAATGAAGATCGTTAGCAACTAACAACAATCATCTAGACGAAAAGATTTCATTTTAACATGAAGAAAAGAGTAGATAAAATTCAATTTTAACATAGCGGATTGAATAAAAAAATTATTTGATTATTTCAAGCACATGTCAAATTTACAATTTCCATCAATAGCATATCAATGTCATCCAATCATAAGCGTCTTTTGCCATAAAACTTTTCTTCCTGCTGTCATTAAGGTGATTAATCTTCCTATCCTCATGTCAGACGAATTTTTTAATTTATAATTTTTTTAATTTCTATTTATTAAGTGCTTTTGGAAATAATCTAATCAAATATAACTCAATCATCGTTTTTATTATCGAATAAATTCAATAAAATTTTAACGCAAAATTTTTGTCTCAGACAAAACTATATTTATACAGGGTGCGCCAAAACTCGCGCTCCAGAGAAAATTTTCAAGTAAGGTAAGATACCAGGAATATGAAAAAAATGTTTAAAAAATTCTATCTGTCAAAAAATTTTGACATGTTTTTTGACATTTAACATTTTTTTATGTCTCTTTAATGATACTGATGATCTTGTATGTTTTTTATACAATTATTTAGTAAAGGTACAAAAATTTTGCCAATAAAAGCCACAAATAACATTAAACAAAATCACAATTTAGGATACAGCTTCTTTGTTTCCTCTTTTAATAGCCTATAGCAAAAAAATTGGAAAATTATTTTTCTAACAGAAATAAATAGAGCCAAAGTGCAAAATTCAAACCCTCATAACTTCGAAATTTTTATAGTTTCTTAAACATTTTTTTCATCTTCATTTTTTTTTCATCTTACAACATCAGACAACAAAGCAAGTTAAAAAATAAATAAAAAGCTTATGAAAACAACAGAATGATACCAGTTTATACGAGTGTTCTTACGTTTTTTAAACACACAGTAACATTTAATACACTAATAATGTTTATTTTTTTTTTAATTTGTGGTGAAAAGCTTTATTGATTGCTATACAATTAGGCATAAAAATAAGAGAGAATCCCTCGTATGTACTTCATAACTTCGAAATTTTTATAGATAAAATTTTTTTAACATTTTTTTCATGTTTCTGGTATCTTACCTTATATGACATTTTTCTCTGGGGCGCGAGTTCAGGCGCACCCTGTATAAATTTTCAAATTCAAATTTTCATTACAAAAAAAAAGCCTTTGTAAAATTCAAAAATTTATTCGATAAAAAAGATGGTCTTATTATAGTATTACTTGTGATAAAAAACGTCCCATTTTTATAGTACTTTATGATTCATCAATTATTTTTTTCCAAATGAATAGTTTAAGCAACAAACCTTTGGTTTCATACTTTTTATTTACCTTGTATGTATTTCGTAATTTTTTAAAAAGAACAAAAACGGTAAACCACGTACTCCTTTACTTAATTTCACAAACGCGAATAAATTATGTGAAGCTTAATTGTAATTTCGTTTGGATTTCTCTAGAAACTCAATTCCTCCATTCCCGGTTTCTAATCATTGTCTTAATTGTCTTAATTTCCTTAAAAACCTACCTATGGTCGTGATGAGCGTCAACGAATAGAGAAATGAGGAACTAAAACTCCACTTGTGCATCTGCTGTCCATAATACACCGTCCCCGACCCAAGTTGCCCCCCATCCGAATGCCTCAAAGTCTTAAAAAGCGCTTCTTGGAACAACAGCACCTCTTCGGCCGCCAAACGCGTCCAGTTCTCCCTATACAAAATATTCAAATTTTCTGTAATACTCCAGAGTCGGTCGACGGTTTCCGCCCGTAGTTCCCCCGCATTGGGGATGGAGGTTTCGCTCTTGGGGTCTAATTTCGAGGCTGCGACTGCCGTGTCGTGATGTATGCCTCCTTCTAATGTCATGAATACGAAAGCCCCGAGAATGGTGTAAGCCAGGACTAAACAGCACACACCCAAAGTGGCTAAAATCGATGTAGTCTTGTTGCCGGAACACGTGTAACAACAACAGAAGAATGTTTCGCGAGGTTCTTTATGTTCGAAGCAGCATTTTTTCGGGGCTGGACTTCCGGGGGGTGAAGCGCGGCGCAAGTAAGGGGAGTGTGGGGGGTAGCCGGGGTACGACGGGGTCGTGGGGGACGAACGCGGGTCGCAGATCATTCTGTCTAGGGGTGGAGAGTGGAGGTGTTGGTAGGCGGCTGCATCTGCAAAAAAATATAAAAAATATTGTTATTCACTTTTTAGTTTATAAAAAAACGTAAAAATTTATAAAAATAAACAGGAAAAGTGTAAGTCGTGTGAAATCAGCCACAGATTTTAGCCACAGGTTCATGACGTAGAGGAAATTTCAGATGAAGATAAGGAAGAGATGATATACAGAAGAGAATTAGTGAACACAAGGGTTTTATTTGCAATTAATTCCGATCCCAGAAAGTAAAACGGTTTATACGAAATAATTTCTTATTTTTCATTGAATAAAACTGACTAATCAAAGTTTCTTGCAAACTCAATTCTTCAAAAATAAATAATTTCTAAGACCAGGGTTGTGACTAGGTTAAAGGGTGAGTTTGCAAGAAACTTTGATTAGTCAGTTTTATTCAATGAAAAATAAGAATTTTTTTCGTATAAAGCATTTTGCATTCTCAGAACGGAATTCTTCAAAAATTAATAATTTTTAAGACCAGGGTTGTGGCTAGGTTAAAGGGTGAGTTTGCAAGAAACATTGATTAGTCAGATTTAATTAATGAAAAATAAGAATTTTTTTCGTATAAACCGTTTTACTTTCTGAGATCGGAATTAATTGTTCTTAAAACAATAATTTCTGAGACTTTTGAAAGAGTTGTTGCTATCAAAGGGTGAGTTTCCAAGTAAAACCCTTGTGTTCACTAATTCTCTTCTTTATAAAATCATTTACTAACCAAGTCATGGGTCGTAAATTGCGTGCGTTATTAAAACTCTTTTTGACGAAAATTTCATCTGAAATTTAGTCTACGTCATGAACCTGTGGCTGAAATCTGTGACTGATTTCACACAAATAAAAGTGTATCGAAATTAAAATTAAAAATTTCGACATCTTATCTTACAATATGTTTAGGTGTATAAAGGTTATCAGCTGTACCAAAATTTATAAACTTTATCTATTTTGAAATATTGGGAATAATCTTTTAAAAATCATAGCATTTTTCGAAACATGTTTATAGGAAAATTTGATCTTAAAATATTTTATCATCTATTTAAATTTGTAAAAATATAAATGGAACACCTTTATGTGACTCAGTCTGTAATTATAAGTAGTAATAATAAATAATATATACAGGATGTGTCAGAACTCGCGCCCCAGAGAAAAATTTCAAGTAAGCTAAGGTAGCAGGAACATGGAAAAAATGTTTAAAAGATTCTGTCAAAAAATTTTGACATTTATTTTTTGACATTTGTAATTTTTTTTATCTATTTAATGAAACTGATGATCTTGTATATGTTTTTTTCCTATAATTATTTAGTAAAGATACAAAAATTTTGCCAATAAAAGCCACAAATAACATTAATCAAATAATCAGAGTTACAATTATTCTTCTAATTGCCTCTAGTAAAAAAACTTGAAAAATTATTGTTTCAAAAAAGTGCAAAAATTAAACTCTCAGAACTTCGAAATTTTTATAGATTGAATTTTTAAAATATTTTTTCTATGTTTCTGATATCTTACTTTACATGGCATTTGTCTCTGGGGCGCGAGTTCTGGCGCACCCTGTATAAATTTTGTACCGGGAATCGGTTGCGCGCACTTGATAATTAGCGACTTTTAATAAATTAAAACTGGCGATATTTTATGTACTTACCTAATTATTGATAGGGTATATTTGAGAATTTTTCTAAATTTTTTTTCTTAATAAATGAGGCGGTAACAGTTTTGTGTGTTTTATGAATACTTTCTGTTAATTTACCGATAAAGTTTTTACACTAAATGAATCTGTATCTGCTAGCGCATCAATCTTTGATTTTATACAAATTTTTACTTGGCTAGCTAAATAATCGCTTTCTTTATTTAAATACAGACCAGACCCGTAATTTATGACTAAATGGTATAATTTGCCAAGAAAAGAATCCTTTACTAGTAGCTTTGGAATTTTACCCCAATTACAGTTCCCCATTGCCACCTAAATTTACGATAGCACAAGTAACAATTTATAAATAAAAATAATTTTCAAAGTTAAAATCGAAAATTGAGTTTAATTCAAATTCTAGTTGGTATTTTTTTCTGATTTTGTAAACAATTGTGTTTAGGAAGTGAATCTGCGTAGTCAGTATAAAAATTATAATTTATAAAAGACTCGGATTATATGCAAAATGCATATTTGTTATTAAAAAGGTATATCAAGAAAATTGTAAGTTTTCTATGCATATCTAATGTTTTTTGATTAAAATAAGCCAAATAAAAAATACATATTTTGCATATTTTGGCAACTTGGCGCATATTTTAGGAAATATTGCATATTTGTCCATATTTTGTTTAAAATGCCGATTCAAAATTTCAGTTCAAGTTAAAAATTGGACAGTTTAAGAAAAATAATTCGATTACAAAATATTTTAAAGAGAAAACAACCGGTAATTCGTAAGCCAAACTCAAAAAATTAGTACCCTGCTGAGTGTTTCCTTTTTAAATTCGTTTTATACTGGGTGAATATAAAGTATTGAACCAAGCGGTTTTTTTTAAATCATTTGTTTCCAAAAAATAATAATTAATATAAACTAAAGTAATATAAAACAATGATCTTATTTTAAGAACAAAATTTTGTTTTGTTTTTGAGTTATTCGATTTTTGTTGTCTAAATTGCGATATATGTAAAAAATAATTTAATATAAAGTAGATAGGTAGTTGTAATCTTTTAGGTCATGACCTTCATAAGAAAAATGTTTTTTTTTTGGTGGATTGCCATTTAAAAAAATAAATATTTTTGTAGAACTCAAAAACAATAATAAAAATTTAGAAAAATTTTATTTTTGATAAAACCACATTTTTATAGAACTATATAATTCATCAATTAGTTTTTTCGAAAAATAAATACTTTAAGTTTCTATTCACCTGGGATAAAACGAATAAATCTTTCTATGCGGATAAGTAGTTGCCTGCAAATGAATTTTAGCAAAATTGTTTAAAGTGATGTGATCTAAAAAGTACAAATTTCTTAGAAAGAGTTAATTACTAGGTTATTAAAATGGCTTGTCTTACGCCAAACCAATTTATTTATTCTTTCATTTATCGTTTGCAGTTCAAGATGACGAAAATACAAAGTTTAGTGTATTCGAGGATAAAAATCTATACCAACTTTGATTTTTAATTGTTAAAAATTTTGCATATCGATGCATATTTGGCATATATTCGAGCATATTTCTTAATATTTTATGCATATTTTTGTGAAAATACGTGCATATACATATATGCGCATATTTTACGAATTTTTCGTGCATATAGTCTGAGCCTTAAATTAATTTAACATGTATAGTATCAATGCCTAGCTAAGTGTGAAAAATTTTAACAATTTTATTTCATTAGAAGTGGGGATTTCTTTTCTGCGCGTAACGGATGCTCCACCGGGTATAATTAACCCATTATTTGTAGACACACTGAATAAATACAATTGAATTCGTATTTTAAAACAATAGGAGTGTGTGCCATAATTTGTTTTAAATTGGTTTATGGAAAAGTATAGAACTTTTCAAAGAATAAATGACAGTCAATAACCGTCAACATCTCATTTTTAAATTTGATTGCTGTCATAAATTCAGATAACCAATCAGTATTTCCCGACTTTCCAATTTAATCAGTTTAAAATCGAATTTATGGTTGGCAAAGTAAATTAGTTTAGCAAATCACACACCTACAAAAATATGATTTATGAAATGTAGATTTTCGATGCTGTTTTTTAATAAAAACTTGTATCATTATTGTGATACTTTATTATTTTATTGATTGTGAGATAAAAACTTAACACACAAATAAAAATCAACCAAAACCAGAATTTTATAGCTACCAACGACATTCTTTGCGGAATTTCCACACAGAAAGTATGTGTTGGGGAATTTTATTATACTCTTACTCGTTGCGTGCTGTACCATACAAAGCGAGATTAAAGTGCTCCAATTTGGAAAAAACATTGTTGGAACTTGAGTAAAAGCTAGCTCTTGTCATAAAATTACTTATAAAAAACTTATGAGACAACATGGAAGTGTTCACTTAAAATAGATATGAAATATTTGAGGTTCAATTTAGAAAGAGGTCACTTTCTTTCAGGTGGTATATAATATGAAATGGAAAATGACCACTTCCCAACTCCTATATGTAATTTTTTCAAAATTTGATAAACTTTTTAATAACTTTCTTTTCTTTAAAAAGGATAATTGTGAATAAATAGCATATATACCTCCCACCTCGGTATATAACCTACTATTATATACAGGATGCGCCAGAACACGCGCCCCAGAAAAAAATTTCAAGTAAGGTATAAGATACCAGGAACATGAAAAAAATGTTTAAAAAATTGTATCTGTCAAAAAAAATTGACATTTATTTTTTGACATTTGACATTTTTTATATCTATTTAATGATACTGATGATTTTGTATATGATTTTTACAATTATTTAGTAAAAGGACAAAAATTTTGCCAATAAAAGCCACAAATAACATTGAACAGAGTTACAATTTAGGACACAGCTTCCTTGTTTCCTCTTTTAATAGCCTATAGCACAAAAACTTGGAAAATTATTTTTCCAACAAAAATAAATAGTCAAAGTGCAAACTTTAAACTCTCATAACTTCGAAATTTTGATAGATAAATTTTTTTAACATTTTTTCCATGTTCCTGGTATCTTACCTTATATTTTTCTCTGGGGCACGAGATCTGGCGCACCTGTATACCAAGAGAAGATATCGTTTTCTTTATCTATTTATTATTAAAAATTAAACAACAATTTCTTTTTTGACAAAATTTTGCAAAACGCCATTTTGTGGTAAAAATACGAGTAGTGAACACATGGACTTGTCATATCCATTGTCTGTCTATAAATCGAAGAACTGTCTTTGGTCAAAAAGTTTTGTGCCTTACGTATTTTACGTTCAGTTTTATTAAAGCACTCAGTTTCGCTTCGTGCTTCAGTATTAAACTTCACGCTGTAAAATTATACATACCGCTCTTATAATATGGATAA